CAACAATATCTTTAACATTTGAAGCTTAAACCAGTATGTTTCTTCCCAAAAGTTATTCATTTAATGCATTTGCATAAAAATGTTCCATATAGTCTAAAATGATCGAAAACATTAGATTTTTGTTTGTTGAAAGTCAATAGTGTTTTTCAATAATTGCGCAGTTGAATTCTCAAAAATACTTGTGGACGAGAATAATAAGCACACGGAGAAGTTTTTTATAACTACTGACAAACATGAGAAAGACCGAAAAGTTGTACATCACCTGTGCTACGTCATTTAAAAAGAATCGCAATTCCGAATTATGTTCCAATTGGGGAATTATTTACAATTGTTAATTGAGAGTTTGCATGCTAAGCTTTGATTTCTTTGACAAACATAATTACACATTACAAACATAATGTTGTAATCTGTGCCCATGGAAACGTATATGGTTTGTGATAGAATTTCCATTTATGTGTTCCGCATGAAAATAATATGGCAACCTTGTGGAGTGTTGTAATGTACACGGCCACTGAGAATAACTAAGATAGAGAGTCACTTCTACTCAGAGGCATGGATAAATTTCTAAATATTGCAGGAACTCAGCTCTGAGAAATTTCTTATACAACTGAGTAGAAGCGATTCTGAGTTATTCTCAGTGGCCGTGTATCCAAAAAGACATTTTAACAAATACTTAAAGTACAATGGCGGTAAGCAACCCAACCAGTTTTACCTTTTAATATTATACCTGTATTGAAGATATGCCAAATTTTTATACAGAATCGGATATACCGATCTTGACATCGGATACGAGGCTAATACGCAAATGTAGGTATATTCGTCATTCTTTTGTTGAGTTGATTTTGTTTTGCTATGTGATGCGAATGAGACAAATTTACACTATTTTTTTTATTTATCTACAGCAGTCATGCTCATCATGTGTATTTGGTTCTCAGTATCCTTTCCCTATATTTTTTTATGTACTGCAAACTTCGCAAAAAGATTGTCCTTAGGAAAGCTGAATGAAATATTCTCTTGAATGATTTTCTATCATTGTCCATGGGCTAGATATTATTTTTTTATCCTCAACGACAAGGGAAGCGTGAGTCACTCATTTTTTTAAAAAGTTTGTTTTATTCTAGGATTGGTTTCAATTGTACTATTATTGTAAAAGGACTGTTTTTAACAACAATTTAATGCAGTATCAACGTAAATAAGTTTTGCCACATACGTAATGTATGAGCCTTATAAAATGTACAGGGAATATATTTGTGATACATTGGCTGTAGTATGCGCATTTAGTACTTAACATCCTTAAACCTTTTTCCTAGTCCTGACTACTTCAAACTAGAGGAACAGGACTCCTCAGTAATCAAAGGAAGACATCTTAGTCCTTCTTACTTGTTATGCTTTGTAATAGTGATAAGTCCTTGAGTTGCCTGGATCGAGAGTGATCTTGAAACAAGGAAAAAAAAATGAGTTAGTCTTCATCTATGTGATTCCTAATATTTTATTCATTGTTTCCTAGTTTGAAGTAAGACTAGGGTTCTGATGCATGAGCAATATCGGTGTCATTGCATAATTTTGTTGCTAAGGAATCCAATTTTGACTGACAAACGGGCGCGCATTTGGAGGGTGCTCTCACTCTTCGAAGAGTATGAATAGCGGTACCTTTCAATTACACAGAAAAAAAAAGTTGTTGAATATTACATCCAAACTGCTGCAACCAGGTCAATCTATCGGTTGTGTAATATCAGGCATAACATTTGATAACGGCACAAAAGCATTTGTAAACAAACTTTCTAAGGCCCTTTACACGTGAACCAAAGTTCGCCCACGCAAACCAATACCACTTTCGGAAAGGTGATAGTTGCCCCTATCCGATGATCTTGTTGGTTTGCGTTGATGTACTTTGGTTCGCGTGCAAAGGGCCTTAGAAAGTTTGTTTACAAATGCTTTTGTGCCGTTATCAAATGTTATGCCTGATATAACGTTGTACGATGTACATCGATTTTGCGAACAAAATTACATCCATTGATGTAATATTGTCCCCCCTATTCTGCGAGTCACGTGACTCTCTCTCACCGGTGAGGTGACAATAGTCACCTCGTGTGAGGTGACTCTCCATTTGATTTGCACGGAGAGTCACCTCACACGAGGTGACAATTGTCACCTCACCGGTGACAGAGAGTCACGTGACTCGCAGAATAAGGGGGTGTATCTGCTTTTTGCTATTACATCATTATTTCATACATCAGCTTGAATTACATTGATCGATGTTACATTTTTTTTGCTGTGTAGAATCGATTCCTTGTGATGGAGGCAAGAATGACAACTATATCAAAACCTAATACTACATCATTTCTCAATAATTATGTGATGTAGTGATATACTACAACAGAGGAAGGAAAATTAAAAGTCTCTCTTCTTGGTGTCTCATTGTTCCTGCAGTATAATTATTGACGACCATCCCCTACATTATGCGTTTGAAAAATGCTAGGTATACGAATAGTGTGAAATGTGATTTTTTTTTGTAAAATATGGGGTGAGCATACGGTACTATAATTTTAGTCAGAACAAGGACATATATATCTTCAGTTAAATATTATTCAAGTTTTTGTTTTGTTTTTGATGCGCCCAGTGTATCTTATTTGCTATATCTAGACAGTTTCAAGATTGGGCAAATTGCTGCCATCTAAACCCATCAGAATAATACATAACTATGAAAATGAAGATAGGCTGATTTGTACAACAAGCAGAATAAATATATGTTACATTCCCAATTTTAAAATTACGCGTAACATTTAGTCGAATACTTGAAATTGTTATTATTATGCCATTTTAATTTTTTTAGTTAACAAATTTTTAGTAAGCTTTTTTACTTTTTCATAAAGAGAAGTATTCAAACCTTATTGATTTCCTATTTTTAAATACTGTAATTTAAAAAACGAAAAAAAAACAAGTTGAAAAACAACACAAATCAATTGCCATCGATGGACGTTTCTGCAAAGTACATCCGCATTTAAATAAGGATAATAAGGTTAACAAGGTTTTGTTGTGTTGATGTTAATGATTATGTTATTCATACATAAGTAATTTGATTAGGAAAAAATGAAACAATATAAAGCTGGTGCTGGGCCCTGAAGAAAAGAAAGATGAGAAAAGATTACCAGTCATTTTTTGTCGAGAAATAAATCCATCATTCTAGGGGAATATATATTTTACCATTTTCACATTTAGGGCAATAAAAAGACATTAACGATTTTTGAAAAAAAAAAATCAAAAGACAAGCCTATTTAAAATAAAGTGAATACTCATTATTTTTTAAACACAAATCATTCTGGTAAAAATACGCGCAAACAGAGAACAAACACAATGTTTTATCCCAAGTATATTTTTAATTTATACTTTTTTTTAATTACAAATATAATGTATCCATCAACAAAATGAATATGTAAATTATCACATACATCTAAACAAATTATAATTTTTTTTTTGAAGAATATTCAGTTTTAAGAAAATAAGTTGTTTATATTTGACAGAAATACAGAATACATTTATATTTGGAAATAACTCTTTTTTAGTAACGGCAGTGTACAAAATGCAGTGGTTTGGAAATAATGAGAAATCGAAGTGCATTTTCTAAATTAATATATTTTTGTTTAATCTTGTGTTGATGTGTTGCGTTTAGTTCTGGTTATTTTTTACTAATATGACTTTATTTTTCAGATGGCGTTTGCACAAAGCTGAGAATTCACGACTCGCTGGAACTGAACCCCCAGGATGTTCCTTCGCAGTATATGTCATGGACAGATTCGTTACTTAGAAGTCAGATAAAACTGAGTGGGACTGTTGCAGCAGTAAATGATCAGTTTTCGATGACATCGTGCTATAAGGGGCGTACCAAAAATAGTCATGTGCAGGATACTGAAAAATATCATTGCCTCGCATGTAATCGCAAGTACCTACGGAAAAAAAGCTTAACACGACATTTACGCTACGAGTGTGGTAAACAACCGCTATATCTATGTCCCGTTGAACTGTGCTCTTACAAGGCATTCTATCGGGTTGTGCTCGAGAAACACATACACACGCACATGAAGAAATGATAAGTCGACAGTTTAAAAAAGATCTGTGAATAAAATTGGTTTTTTTAAACCACCAAACTAACAATTTACTAATTTCTGCAATTCTCACAAAACGATGGTTTATTGCGTTTGTTTACGTCTGTTCATAATGAAATAATTTATCTTACTAAGGTAGAAAACAATGATTACTTTTTTATGCATACACAACATAACTAATGAAGTAGAGGACGGCTGTAGAGGTTCACGCTCTGTCAAATATTTGTTTATCAGTCAAATAGCTTAAATGAAAACACATTTATCATTCATGTGAACGTTTCAGCAGTTGAGGTCATCAAGTAGTATTGTTTTTACCTTTATATATAGTTAGTAACATTGTTCTATTACTTTTGGTCGAGTGTTCATTTTATTTACAAACATAATGTATGATAAATTGTGCCATAGATATCCACGGACACACATATTTTACCATTATTTCAACAATTCATATAGTTGAAGTCAACAACAACTGTTTCAAAACAGTTGTTTATTTAACAGACGTTTAGTTAATTCACTAAATTTTGAATCAATAATATATTGCAATCCGTGAGTCAACAATATTCTTGTTGAGTGCCTGAATGACTACCAACAAAAAGTATAGCAACCAATCAAACCCACCGACACGTTTGTTATGCGTACAAATTCAGTGACTGATAAACCGATATTAGGCAAAGTATACTAAATATTTATTAAATTTGTCTGATAAGTTTGCTTCTTGATTTAACAACATCTAGTTTGTATCTAACAATGTAACTAACCTACTAATCTACTAACGCTCTATATTTTTCTCTTTCTTTTCTCCCGTTTTGGTCTGCACACACACAACCAATTTCTTAAACAAATGAATCTTTACTGTAAAACAATCTAAATAAACCCACGAATCCAATCGTCTTACAGCAGACGACAGTAGCTCACTTGGTGGTGGTTATACTAAGATCAAGCTCGAAAACTTTAACCTCTGGTCGGATGCGGACTATATTTCTATTGCCGATCAGTCGATCACTTCGTCTGATGGATCACCGCATCCGTCGTCGAACTATCTTCCAATTTGGCGCAAAGCATCCAAGTCGGCAACCCGCATTACTCCCGGTCGGATCAAGATAGCAGCTAGAAAGACCTCTTCGCTGTGTGCTCCGGTGGTCCCTTCTCCAAGCAAGGCTTCGCAAAAGACATCGATAATTTCACTGAACAGTAGTAACTCCAGTGTAGGATCGAATTCGTCGCTTCCATCCAATGGTACCAGCGCCACTGGTGTGCGCAAAGAGGATCAAATTGTGTTTCAACATGAGAACGATACCAAGCCGTGGAAGTGCAAGACATGTGGCCGTAATTACAAATGGAAAAACAGTCTCAAGTGCCACATCAAAAATGAATGTGGTGTTCCGCCAAAGTATATTTGTGAGCGCATGTGTGGTTACAAGACGCACATCCACAGTAACCTGAAACGCCATCTGAACTCGAAGTTTTGTAAACCCAATTGAGGTTAAGTCACCGCTCCTAGAGGAGTCTGCCGCTTTTCTTGAAGCCTCCATCGAATACCATTAAAATATCAATTACCACGCACAGTCACCCATGAAACAAAAAAAAAAAAACAAAAAACATTAAAGGGCAATCTTCAATGCACTCGTGCAATACACATTTCCTAAAGTGTTTTTTTTTTTCTTTTTATTACACGCACAAAGAACATACATAGAAGTTTGTATTTTGTGCATAATAATGTCATACCATAGAAGTAACTCTAAGACAAGAAGGTCCCGAAGAAGCGTGCTCAACTTTTTTGCTCAGCTCTCAACTATCTCCGGTCCCAAGCTTATCGATGCACCCCTCGAAACATAGGAAAATCGAGAAATACTCAGAGGGAGGAGATAGGCGGAGAGAATGTTTTGAGCCAAATGAACTGTCAAAATCTGGGCCAATCGAACATTCCCATTAGATTTTTTCCTAGGATAATTGATCTTAGTTGGTTAACTAATAGCACCAAGAAATGTGCAAACTATTGCGATGCACTCAAATATTATTTTGCATGTAAATCGAATCAAAAGTAAAAGTCACGTGAAATGCTAGCTTACACGCAGAAAAATGGATTTTTGTTTCAGGGCCTAATGTATTTTGATTATTGACTCTACAACCGGTTTGTTGATTCAAAAATATATTTCTTTGAATCAACCGAATAATATATTTGAATCAATACCAATAATATATTAGGCCCTGAGCCAAAAATATATGCATTTGAATTTAAAAATCATTTCTCCGCGTGCATAACAAAGGTTGCAAGATAATTTAGGTACAAATCTCTGCTGCCGAATTGTGATTTGTTTTCTCCGTCCATCTCTCCCTCTGAGTATTTCTAAGAAAATCCAAGAACCCTCCATTTTATCTGTAAAACTTTCATTGCGAATCAAAACAAACATAGTGTAGTACTAGAATTTCGACTAGAATTGAGTACGTTAATCGATTTGCTTGGGACCAATAGGCTAGTCAAGTAGTGATCCAATTTTAAATCGTTAGTTTTCAACCGGTGTTCATACGTTTCTTCGGAACCTACTAGCAACAATCAACACGAAACTATCGATTTTAAATTGGCTCATTACTTGACTAGCCTATTGGTCCCAAGCAAATCGATTTAGGTACCCCATTCTAGTCGAAATTCTAGTACTACACAATGTTTGTTTTGATTCGCTTGAAAGTTTGACAGATAAAATGAGGGGTTAGTGGATTTTCCTATGTTTCGAGGGGTGAATCGATTAGCTTGGGACCGAAGAGAGTACCAGAGCTGAGCCAAAAAATTGAGCATGTTTCTTCGGGACCTACTAGTCTTAGAGTTACCTCTATGCTACTTGTCTTATGGCGGTAAGCTCCAACTCGGATTAACTTTTAATACCGTCCCTGTTTGGATGATCTGCGAAGTGTTTGCCTAGCATCGTGTTGAATAACTCTGATGTCGACATCAAAGCAGCCGGACATTCTTGATCGGGATTTAATCCGAGGATAATACCGATTGGAGCTTACCGCCATTAGAGTTACCTCTATGCTTATACGCTATGCGAGAAAAATAGAAAATAAAAATTGAACAGCAGAAAAAAAAATTAAATTAAATTTAGTCACATGTACCAATTACCGCTCACGTTTCAGTGAGGTGTTCCAATTAACGTTCGGTTTGATCTTATTTTCCTTTCATTTTTATTTGATAATAATTGTATTTAGTGATATTGTTTTGAACAGTTAGCGTGTTCTGTAGCAGTTGATTTTATTATATTAACGTAACATCGATAAAATGGTCCTTTACATAGTTATTCATAGTCATAACTTTTTTATACTTTTTAAAACTATATAACAGTCAACGGTCTAGGATTTTCATTACAATATTGACTGCACAATTGATTCGGCCGGAACACAGTAGTTGGTAGCAGCATGAAGAACTGACAATTCACGTTTTCCAGCTTTTGCGGAACATACATTCTTCTTTTGGGCTGTTCATATACCACGAGGACGCTTTAGGAGGGAGAGGCAAATCCATTGTCCATACAAATTCTTAAAAAATGTGTGTATGACTATCCACGCAGGGGGCGGGAGGATGTGATTTGGTCCAAAATCTCTCAAAAATTGTCCACCTGGACTGTAGCTCTTTTCAGTTAAATTATAATACAAACAAAGGCCACGCCAAACGACAAATCGGAAAAACTCGACCTTTTCCGATTTGCATACATGTGTGTTATGGGCATTCATTCCCATTTTTACAAAAAATCGGCCTATCGGATGTTGTAATTTTGTGCAAAATGGCGTCTTTGTCATTTTTCAATAAATAGAAGCACGAAAACGTCACTTCTGATCGAAATGACCTCTGAGATTCAGTTGTAGAAAAAATAAAGGCTTTCTGGGAAAGGAAAAATATACAAGATATTTTTTAGTAAAAAAATTAAAAAAATGTTAAAAACTGAAATATTTCAAAAAGTAAGGGCAATATTTATAATTCATTTTTTAAAAAGCTCATGAATACTTTTGGCCGAATTTTTGCAAAAATGTGAATGATTGCCCATAACACATAATAATGCAAAGTTTCTTGCAAATCAGAGAAGGTCGAGTATAAATTGTATTTATTTTATTTTATTTGGTCTGGCATTGGTCAGGATGTTTTTATGAGCGATAATTGGTACTCATCAAATAAATTATTATTATTATTTATCTTTATTAGGGAGGCTTTCAGCCTTGGGCTGGTTCGCCTGCACTCTCATCAAATAAATACATTTTGATTCAGGAACATGTAAATGCACTTTGTAGTCCTCAAGAAGCTTTGGTTTAAGCATGCATAGGGGTAGGCGGGGCATAGTGGGCATGTTAAGCATTTCACCATACATCTAATAAAGTAAGTCATATTATTGTACATTTGCAGCGTTAAATCTTGGAAAGGTATCTTATTATCATAAACTGACCGTTGAAATGTGAAAAAAAATGAACGAGATGAAAACCACATGTTTTTGGAACGTGTGAAATTGTGAATCTAAGATACCAGGTGGGGCATAGTGAGCAGGCCACGTTTTGTACAAATTGATTGTTTCATGTATACTCTTGAAAGGTTAAACCTTTGTCCAACAGTTTACGAGGTATTAGTGGATTGAGGGGTAGAATACATTCCGGAAACCCCTGACCCAGTCTTTGCCAGCTAGTTGACTCTCGACGTTTAACGGGTGCTGTATTTTATTCCGAACCGCCACCTGAAAAGTCAAGCTGCGGATGTCTCGAACAGTTATTCCGTAACAGGAAACTTCCAGCTTTAGGATATGCGACACCAGTTCGTTTTCCTCAGCGTTCGAAAAAACAGTAGCAAATGATCCGATATGCTTTTTTTCTGGAGTCACCGAAATAACGTAACGTCCTAGAGTTGCACGTGGAACACAATACTCACGAGACGTTTGATTCACGGATTCCCCACGGTTTACTGCTTCCACTGTCCTTTCCATGTTGTCCTTTGACCACTTTTACAGAACTGAACTCTTCTTGTAATTGCGGACCATATTACCGACACTTGCGATACGCATCAAAACAAAAACAAACCACTGCTAAGGCTCTGAACCATTTGGAGCATTATTTTAACTTTTGGTTAAAATTTGACAGATGGAAAGTTATCGATTAACCCTGCTATCCGAGCGTGGTTACTTCTGACAGACAAGAAGTTAAATTTTGACAACCTTGGCTAAGTTCTTCTCGAAAACCGGTCGATCGACAGCACAGGGATTTTCGAACATAGAAAATAACTTTCGAAATGTCACTTTTAACCACGAGTTAAATTTAACTCGGCAAATGGTTCACAGCCTTACTCTACCCATCCGACGGTTGCTCACTATGCCCCACCCTATTTAGGCTCTGAACCATTTGGTGGATTATTTTAACTTTTGGTTAAAATTTGACAGATGAAAAGTTATCGATTAACCCTGCTTTCCGAGCATGGTTATTTCTGACAGACAAGAAGTTAAATTTTGACAACCGTGGCTCGAAAACCGGTCGATCGACAGCACTGGGATTTTCGAACATAGAAAATAACTTTCGAAATGTCACTTTTAACCACGAGTTAAATTTAAGTCAGCAAATGGTTCACAGCCTTAAAAAAATCAACTGGTAGTTTTGATATTAAATTGAATACATATTATGTGTAATATGATGCAAACAGTCTGCGTATGCTTTGAAAACATGTTTAAGCTAAATAAATACCTACGACGCGGTATTCTGAGTTCTTAAAACCTTATTTAGGATTTTTATATCGGATCGGATTTTTATATTGCGTAGACAAGATATGCCCAACTTACACATTTTACGACATTTTTCAAAGTTTAAATGCGTTTTATACAATAATTCTCTAGAAATTAATTGCAGTGACGGCATTGAATTAATTTATTTTATTTTCTATTTTGAATAAATAGAAATTTATGGCTAAAATACAGGGTGCTCATTATGCCCCACCTGTTCACTACGCCTCGCCTACCCCTACTATAAACAAATCTACCCACCTGTGCTGATTTTAGCCAAAGAAAACTAGAAAACAACGTAAATTCAACTAAAATTGCAATTTTTTTCCCTTTTTCGTTTTTGTGACGCAAAAATGAGAACAGATTTTTGTCTAAATACAAATGTACTGAGAATGTAATGAATTAGGTTGTTAGTGGAATACTCATTAGAAGAAATCAATGTGATTATTTTTAATTTAATTCACTTTTTTATTGCTCTTAAAAGTACTGTCCACCGGTGGAAACTAACGATTTTAAATTAACTCACTACTTGACTAGCCTATTGAGTTCTCCAAGCCAGATCTCACGAACACTACACTAATAGTAAAGAGCCTGAATTTACAAAGAGACGACATGTCAAAATTGGAACAATCGATTGTCTGTCAAAGTC